GTTCTTTGAAGACAAGAACTGCATCTTAGTCATATTGGCATGCTCAAATGACCAACAGAACTCTTCCAACTCTTATCAACTCTTCTAGTAATACTTGATAACATACTTTGAATACGAGTACAATTGTTTTCTGAATGAGTACAAATGTATACTTTTATACATCTGTGCTATTGTTTATTCTAGCACCAAAGTCCAAGGAGAGACTTGATGTGCTCTCTCCCACCCTGACACACTTAAATCTATGTATTTAAAAATTGCCTTGGTCCTAATCTGTCCTAAAATATAAAGCTAATTTGACTAGCATAGTCCATGCAATATAACAAAAGGGAAATACTGATTAAGAAGACTATATAAAAGACATAAAGATTACTGAACTTTGCCACTGAGCAAATGCATGTGGAGGAATAAAATTTTGTACTGTACAGCAATAAACTTCCAGTGTATTTGTGAAATACTGAGAGAAGAAATAATGACTGGAGTTTAATTATCAGACAGAAGATGGTAGTCATCTATACAGAATTTTTTCTATATGCTTGAATGGGACCGCAAGAGACGGTAATAAAATATTTGTAGGTCTATGTATTCATCAAGTGACTCCACCTAAACAAGGTCAAACAGCTTGTGTCTGACAAATTCCAGTCTATGTAAAGATCCTTCAAACACAAGGAAACTATTTCAGCTTTGCAAATAGACACTTTGCTTCTCATTGGGGAACAAATTATTTTACATATTTAGGATGCAATATTTCATAACCATCCCTTTGGGGCTCTCTGACACATGTCCCCACTGTGCACTCAGAGGCATCACCTAGGCTCCCTAGGGAGCTCCCTTGCCCTCTTCCCCTTTTGAGTATAGGCCTGCACTGTGGCTTCTGGACAGATTACTGCTGGAGGGAACTTCCTCCATATGCAACCTTGTCACAACATCTTAGGTGATGTTGTGTGCTAATAATATGTGTGCTACTGCCTCTGCACCATAGTCATATCTTTTTCCTAAATCAAACCCCAAATGCTTCGAACCCCTACAGTAATGCACAGTATTCCTAGTATTCCTTTCATAGAATGTTAATAGATTTTACCTGAAAAATATGGCCCCCTTGGTGAATTTAGTTTTGGAAATGCTGTTAAACAGACTTCCTTACCACAGGGCATCCCAGAGTCTTTACTATATTTATTTGCATTGTGACCCTCCAAGAGAGGAATGAAAAACTCAGTGTTTCCAAAACTCATGTGGGAAACTCAGTGTTTTCCACGCTGGAAACATTTACTGGGGAGCATCTTGGGAAAGCAGAAGCATGGCTGGCTTTTCACATCATGGGAAGTGGCCTCAGGGCTGAGGTGAGTGGGCATTAGTGGGGAAAGTAACTTATCTGAATGGCTCACATAAATACTGGTGTCTAAAAGACATTCTCCACTAAATTAAACTAGGGCTCCTTGAGAAATACGTAATTCCAGGGCTAGGGAAAAGAAAGTGCTAGATAAGCCTGAAACAACTTTTCAAATCAGAAAGTAAAGAAGTCCTCGTAGAACGGACAGTGACAAGTGAAAAGAATATAGGAGCTTACAGGAAAAAATGAAGGATGGTTTCAGCATCAAAGTAAATTATGTTAATAAAGATTAGCCCATCAAATAAAATAAGGATCTACAAGTACACGCTGGTATAAATAAATAAATGAAATTTTGAAATGGAGAGAAGGAAGAAGTTCTACCTTGTAGTAGAATGCCAATTAACATGTAGAGAAATAACAATAGAATATAAAAATCACCATTTGGCAACCATCATAGTAATAACTGACTAAGGCAAGAATCATCAATGGATCCTAAAATTAGTGGGTAAAAATTTTATGGTGAATAAGATATTTACATAGCCTAAGAATCAGTGGACATCATGTCAGTAAATATTTGTCAAATGATTAAAACACACACATAAACACACATACATATATACATTTTAACAGGGAATGGCAAAGTAGATGGGGTGCAACCTTAACAATGGGGAATCTGGGTGAAATTTGAGTTCTTTTTTCCATTCTTGTAATTTTTTAAATAAATTTGAAATCACTTCACAGTAAAAAGTAAAGTACGCTGTAGGAAAAGTCCCTTCTCTTACACTGCTTTGGTAATGACAGTTTGAGCTGCTCAATTCAATCAATTAATTAGTGTTCTACCCACTTTACTCTTCACAGAAGCCTTTACCACTGACCAGAGGAATGGATGACCCCTCCCTTGGTTCCCAGGACTGAGTGCTCCTTCCTTGGATGGCTTCTGCTGGGGATGTTTTTTTTTCCTCCAGTTGAAGAATCACTACGTAGTGATGTTGCTATACCTCTCAACCACTTTTTCACTCACAGGCCCCAGAGAAAGCACAAGCCATACTATTGACTTCAGGCCCACTTAACTCAAGGGTAAGTTTCTTTTAAAATGTTCTGACTCGCCTTTCCCAGTAATTCACAGGCACAGAGCTTGTGATTTTACTACACTTTGCAGGTTCCATGGTTTTTGCATCTTATTAAAAGGTGATTGCTTTTCTCTTCTTCAAATTCTTTCAATGCTTCTAAATAGAAAACTTTAAAGTCACCAAATGGTTTCCTCAAATCCTCCATATCGTCTAGCATAATGCAGGGCATATATTAGGTGCTAAGTAGGAATTTCTTGACTTACTGACTGGAACATATTTACCTGTTCCTGTACGACTAGAAAACATTTCACTATGTAGGCATATGCTAAGAAATGCTACAATAAATATTTCAGCTAAATTAACATTTTTCTCAATTACTTTCATTATACAACCAAAGATACAATAATAAAAATCACAGATAAAATTAAGAAACACTTAAAAAGAAAGAAATATTTTGCTAGACTCTATCAGTGGTATTCCAAATTTTAAACCTCAAGCATTTTGGAATAACATATCATGTACTGTAAAGGAACCAGTGACAGATACCGTATTTAAAGCCAGAAAGATGTTCTACGATTCAAACCATTTCATCTGACTCCACTATAATCTAGTGCTTCCATACAGAAATCTCAAGGCTTTTAAGATTTTAATTACCATCTATTTTTGAAAATAAACTTAAGGTCCAATGATAGTGCTTAAGATCTCAATCTCTGGAGTCCAACATACAATAAGACCACTTACTGAGGAACCTCAGGCAAATAACTTTATCAAGCCTCAGTCTCCTCATCTGTAAAATAGAATATTAATGGTACCTAAAACAAAGAGTTGCTATCACGCAGAAATACAATGGTATTTGTAAGGTAGGTGGCATATGTTAAGCACTCAACAAATACTCAGTATTATTATTATTATTGTTATTACTGCCATGATTAAATAAAAATAAAAAATAAAAAAACCAGGATCCCAGAGTGCATACATAGAATGATTCAATTTCACTAAAAGGGCAAAGCACATATAAACATATATATACATGTATTTATATGTACATACTTAAGGTATTTATACATATGTTTTTATATATATTCATGTGTTGTTTAACAATGGGGATACTTTCCAAGAAATTCATTGTTAGGCAATTTCATTATTGTGTCAACATCTCAGAGTGCACTTCCACAAACCTAGATGGAATAGCCTACTACACACCTAGGCTATATGGTATAGCTTATTGCTCACAGGCTACACACCTGTATAGCATGTTACTGTACTATAGGAAATTGTAACACAATGGTAAGTATTTACAAATTTAAACTTATTAAACATAGAAAAGGTAAAGTAAAAATAGAACATAAAAGATTAAAAATGGTACACCTGTATAGGGCATTTGCCATGAAAGGAGTTTGCAGGATGGAAGTTGCTCTGGGTGAGTCAGTGAGTAAATGGTGAGTGAATGTGAAGGCCTAGGATATTACTGTACACCACTGTACACTTCATTAACATTGTATACTTACGCTACACTAAATTCATAAAAAATTTTTTTCTTCCATAATAAATTAAAATTTTAATTTTTAAAAAACCCTTTGACTCTTTTGTAATAATATTTGGCTTAAAACACAAACATACTGTACAGTCATACAAAACTATTTTCTTTATTTATATCCTTATTCCATAAGTTTTTTTGTTTTGTTTTTTTTTTGTTTTGTTTTTGAGACAAAGTCTCGCTCTTGTCCCCCAGGCTGGAGTGCAATGGTGTGATCTTGGCTCACCGCAACCTCCGCCTCCCAGGTTCAAGCAATTCTGCCTCAGTCCCCCGAGTGGCTGGGATTACAGGTGCCTGCCACCACACCCGGGTAATTTTTGTATTTTTAGTAGAGATGGGGTTTCACCATGTTGGCCAGGCTGGTCTCGAACTCCTGACCTCAGGTGTTCCGTTCCGCCTCTGCCTCCCAAAGTGCTGAGATTATAGGCGTGAGCCCCCACACCCAGCCCAGAAGCTTTTTTTCTACTTATTTTATTTTTTTTAAGATAGAGTCTTGCCTTGTTGCCCAGGCTGGAATGCAATGGTGAGATCTCGGCTCACTGAAACCTCCGCAATTACCTTTGCAAATATAACCATAAATATGCTATTTAAAAAAGAAAAAAAAAACCTTTCGCAAGGATGAACCATATTTGTTTACAGTGTTATGTCCACAAAAATTTTGTTCACATTATTTACGATACGGATGGTCCTCAACTTACCATAGTTCAACTAACAATTTCTTGAGGTTATGATGGGTTTACTGGGAAGTAACCCGTCATAAGTCAGAGAGCTCTGTATGACTTCTATGATGGGTTACAGTTTCTATTGAGCTTTCACGCCATCATAAAGTCGAAAAATCTTAAGTCAAACCATAGTAAGTAGGGAACCATCTGCTATGTCACTGGCATTAAATTCGTTTTTGACTTAGGATATTTTTTATTTACCATGAGTTTAGAGAGATATAACTCCACTGTAAGTCAAGGGGCATCTGTAATTAGGAAAATACCATTTTCACTGCTTTACATAGCCTGCTTGCTTCTTTTCATCAGAGAATAACTATGAAGAAAAAAATAAGTTACATGATTACCCTCTGCAATTTCCACTCGGGTTGCTCACTGGTTCCATCATGTCCTATCCTTATCTTATATATGTTTCCAATGCTCCTTATTTCAACCTAAACGAAATGCAAAGAAGAAAAAAATTATCAGAATGTTTTAAATTAAGCACATTAAAAAATTCTTTCTCTTTACACTAAATGCATTTTTTGTTCCTAATAGTTAAAAAGCTCTCAGGAATTCTTTCAGAGTCTAGAAAAGAAGTGCCCTCAAGAAACAATCAGTGAACTTCACAGACACAGAGTATGAGACAGAAATATCATGAGACTTGACTAAAAATATGCAGAAGGAGTCAAATGAGAGAACAGGATGAAGAACACACATATGCTCAGTTCTCCGACTACCACACATTTCTCACTGGAAGCCAACACTTTCTGAGTTCCAATGACAGAAAGATGGGTTCGTATTTTAAGAAATAAAAAAAAAAAACAATTTTCACCAAAGAAAAGCTAAATATGGTGATTTCTACAAGCTTAAGCAAAGTGTGAGTCTAGAACTTCCTTGTACTCTGAAAATCCTGTCGTCTTTGATGATACCTAGGTTAAGATATAGATGTTCTACGTTCAAGGAAGAGAAGCAAACCTGCCCACAGAATATGGGTGCTGCTTTAGTTTTTGATGAGGACCAAGAGTATTTGTTAATCCAGGTAGCATTGTAGAGAACTGGCTTTGGAATTACTTGGAGCTCAACTGGGAGCCTGACTGTTGTAAACTGAGTAAAATATGTTTTTTTACTTCTCTTATCTTCAATTTCTTTATCTGTAAGAATGGTCACATAATGCTTATGGCATAAAATTTTCAGTTCAACTAAATAAATATATATTGAAACAATAAACAATATGCAAGTCCACAGGTATGCAAAGATGAAAATGATGGCACTGTCTCTAACTTGGAGAAATATACAGCCTAGCAAGGGAGACAGACTTATAAGCAGATATTTTTAGTATAATAAAATATGTCCAGGTCACTGAACTGTGAGAATTTTTTTAAATGTAATATACCACCTTATTACTTAATGGCTTACCTAACAGCCACTGTCATTATTTCTGCTATAGGTGCCAATCTACCTCTGCAGACTAGAGATATAAATAGGTAGGCACTTGCATATTATATCTGACTAGACATTGCCTACCTATGGACTAGACCCTGAAAGAGCTGGGACAGTCAAATCACCCAAAAACTATCAGAACTCCTCTTTCATACCCAGTTCCCATGCTTACCATTCTTTTTTTTTAAGTGCCCACCACCACTTTCCCCTACAGACTGCAGCAGCTAGAACAGAACTGGGCCTGTTTCAATACCAGGTCAAGAGAAACTATGCTGGTGTCAACTGGGAAGAAGGGAAAATAGGGATGTTAATCCCCAACAGCCAATTTCCCCCACTTCCTTATTCCCAGAGCTGGTTTCAGTGGCAGAACTCAGAGGCTAGCTCTTCCTCCCAGAGAAAGCAGGAAATTATCCTCCAGTTTGAGGCTACTTTGTCTCTAAAAGGTAAATCACACTTTAAATATCCTTTCATTGTCCCAAGAATCTATTAGCACTTAAGTGTAAACTTCCTTTCTGCACAATTTAAGTGAAAATAATAAAGGGATATCTGAACAGTCTGGTTACCAAGCATATGTGACTTGATACCTATGTGCCTGTCACTGCAGAAGAGCAGAACTAACTGCTACTCAGCTCTGTGCCAGCCAGGCGGGAAAGACTTGATATTCTTGTCCCTGACAATTCACACAGTCACCCTGTGAAGGGTAAGGCTCTTTTAAGCATCTACTTTAAAAGATGAATAAACTCAAAGAGGTTAAGTCATTTGTCTAAGGATACACAGCTGGATACACAGAAAGTTCCAAAAGTAAAATTTGAACCCAGGTTTAATAAAATATCCCACATTGTCCTCAAAAATGGCTATATGCTCACTTCAGGACTGGAAAGAAGGAAAAGAGAATGAAAGACAAACTTAAAACTGGCAAATGATGCCAATTAAAAGGAACAAGAGAATCAATACTCACAGAGGAGAGAGAGTAGAAATGTGTCAATTCATCCTAATTTAGGATTCTCAAACTATCACAAGGCCCCAGTCCCAGAGCCCATTAACCCCTAGGCCAGTGCTTCTCAAACTTTAGCGCACACACAAATTACATGGGGATCCGGTTAAAACGCAGATTCTGATCCAGTAGGTCTGGAATGGGAACCAAAATTCTGTGTGTCTCACAAGCTCCCAGGCAATGCCCATCCTGCTGGCCTGGAGTCCACAAGACTCTACGCTCCTGGGAGCTTCCACACGTAGCCCCAATCTCCACCACTGAGGTAATAATCTAGAGCTATTCACTCTTCACAGTAAATGACAGAGGCGGGTAGAAAACATATCCTGAGCCATTTACCAGCAGAGCGAGAGTCCTTAGTGCCTGCAATCTGTCACCTATAGAGCACTTCCCATCTACCGGGTACAGCGCACGACACACACCTTCCCAGGCATTCTTTAAATTTTACAGCAAGGTTTTTAAGTATTATTACCTACCTTGTACTAAGTAGGAAACTGAGGATTAGAAAGGATAATCAGTCTATTTAAGGTCACAAAACTAGTGAAAGGGTAATTTGAACCTGGTCTCTGACTCCAAGGCTTCTGTTCTTAACCAGTTTATGAGTTTTACTATATGTCAATAGGATTCCTTTTTTAATTTATACACATTTTCTCTTTTTGTCATCACACTACCTTTAAATTTAGAAAGAAAAGATATTATTGCCTATATTCTATACATAAAGATAATGCTGGCCTGGAGAAATAAAGTGGCATATTCAAGGTCACATAACTAACATGTGGGAAGCAAGGACTCTAATCTAGCTTACCTGATATGCAGTCTAGTGCTATATCCAGCATTCTCAACCTTGGTTGCACTTTAGAATCAGTTGGGGAACATCTGAAAACCTCAATACCCAGACTGCACCTCAGGCAAATTAAACTAGAATTTCTGGAGGTGGAATCAGGCATCAGTAGTTTTTAAAGCTCCCTGGGTAATTCCAATGTGCATCAAGACTGAGAATCTATACCATTCATTCCAAGATTTGACCATAAGTAAATTTTTCAGAAAAACATTGATAGGATTTATCAGCATATAAATACATATACCACAAGGTATATTACGGGAAAATTAGACTTTTGTGGGGTGACTTAGGGATCTAACCATACACACACATTCTGAATTCTAAACAATTATCTTCAAATAATCTTTTGAAATATGTATTTATATAAGGTATGGCTGCCTATGCAAGGAGCCAAAGTGCTCTTCCACAACTGCAGACAATTGCTTTTCTTCAATGAAAATTAACTTTAATGATTACAAAAGTAGAATGACAGGCTTAGGTCTGAAAATCTAGAAACCATTTGGGTATTAGTGATTGCCAGGTACCGTAGCCCCAAATAGCCTTGGGTTCCTGGCAACACGAGTTGTCCTCAATCATTCTCTATTCTCTAGTCAGCCTTAGGATGCAAAAGGAATACCCTCCAGAGAAAATGACTGCTGTTTAACAGTGCACCAAAGAGCTTTCACAGGCAGTGGGGGTGGAAGGGTGGATTAGTGAAGTGGAATGTAATTGTCCTAATTGAAACTTGGCCAAAGCTCTGAGGAACTAGGAGAGGCAACCAGCCACATGCAAACTTAAGCAGCCCAGTGTTCTCTGACTCTAAGAAGTAAAGGAGAGAGAAATTAGAATGGGCATGGGCAGAGCTTCAAAACATGGCCTGTGGAGATCCAGGAAATTATTTCATTCTTAAGACTTTTTTAATTAAAAAGATGAAACAAATTTTATAAAAAGAAAATAATTTCACACCTGTATAGCTCAGCTGAGCAACATCTATAAGTATATGCAAGTATATAAAAGAAGAGTTTTCATTACCAGAAGAATCTCTATACAGCATATAAGTTGGTTATAAATTGAGTTGAAGTTGGTAGTTTATAGGGCCAGTTCCAAACCCATGGTTTGAAAATATACTAAAATAAACTGTCTTTAAAGAAAGCAGTTTTTTCTACAACTTTCCTTGCTCGAATGAGACATGTGAGCAAAAATATTTCCTTTGATTGTTACAATAAGCATTATTAACTTACAGGCATTCTAAAAGACCAGAGATCCAATTTAATAGGAGACACACACACACACTTCTACATTACAGAAATGTCTTTGAAATGTTCACAGGAAAATATCACAGTGTTGTTTACCTGAAACTCATCCTCCTGTCCTGGAAGGAAGAGCTGCTCTGAGCTGTCCTTGCGAAGACTTATTGGCCCAGTGACTCCTTTATCTCCATACACCCAGAGAGTGACATTGGCTCGAGTTCCTGTATTTCCCGTCAGCACTAACACCTTCCATTCATCTTCTGACAGAAGAGTCTTACCACTTTGGAAACGTCTGATTTCTTCTATGGGGGAATAAAGCATTAGTGGCAGATCAGATACAACATCAGGCTGACAGAATCCTTTGTCACATTGGAGCCAAAGGACATGAAAACTGGGCAGGGTAGGGTGAAGCAAGCAGGAGGCACTGCACTGTGAGGACTCCAGGGAGCTGATTTGTGCTTGTCTCCTCACAGCAAGGTTCTGGTCAACTGACACTCAACCACCGAAGTAAACTGGATTCGAACAGTAAACATCTGACCTACCTGGCAATCTTTCACTTACCCAGGAGGGCAAACTGGAGTTTCTGTCCTATGTCCACAGATTTTTCATAAAGCTGCCTGCTTGACTTACATTTTTTATATAGAACTACCACCACATAAAGTAATAAAAAGGGGGAATTAAAACGTGTTTTCACATACGATAAGTAAGTGACAAATTGAGGGCAGAGAAAAATTTTCTGAAATATTTCCAAAAAAATAAAAAAATACCTTACTGGAGTGGGCAATGGAAAGGATTTGGAACTAAAGAGAATTTTCACACATACAAATTGTTCCTGAGGTGCTCAGAGCAGTTGTCCACGAGAGCAGGGCTGCACAGCACTTGTGTCTCACAATGCATTCTCTAGCAACCAGCAGTGCCCAAACACAGCCACTCCTGTTTGTAAAGAATGCCATGACGTCCCAAGCTAGAATGGCTGTCTTCTTCACACTCCCTTTCGCCTGTGGTCTCATCTGAGGAGATACTGGGCCAGGCAGTGCTGAGGGCATCTCCCATGCTACTCTGCACTGGTTGTCTGAAAGTACCCCAACAACTGCACTTTAATTCTTCACTGATATTTCCACTTTGAAATCTTATACACCCAAGATGATGAGGTAAAAGTTCTTCACATCAAATGGTTAAAAGGTAGCCAGAGCTGATCTCCTTCCTTTAATTCTGTAGCTTGAAACTATACGCAGCCCTAGGCAGCACTTAGGATCTTACCGACAATGATGAAAAGCCCAACAAATATGAAATTATTCCTGCTAAGCTATAATGAACTAATTTTAAAATAAAAACCATGCAAAAATATACAAATAAAAACAAATGCTATGAAAGAACTGATATTCATTTTTTAAAGTTTTCTCTAGAATGTGTTGGGTAATCTCTGTCAGTATAACAGTTCTGGGTAATCTCTGTCTCTGGGAGTGACTGAACAATTTAATTGTTTTTAAGCTCCTAATATATGGAGGGTTCTGCGTTGCACCTTTTATATGCATTTCTCATTCAATCCTCATTCCAAACTCATAAGGTGAGTCAAATTATAATGTCCATTTTAAGAAGAGGAAAAGAAGCAGGGAAATTAAATAATATGGCCAAGTCACATAATAAGCAAACTATGGGATGTTTAACTGCAAAGCACCTGCACTTAAACAAGCTTGATAAGCATTCTGTATTCACCTACACATAATTCACCAGGATGCAGCAGTGCTGCTAGCATGTGAGGTTTTCTTCTGCGCTGCACACTATCCTAAGCACTTAACATTCATCATCAAGTCACTCTCACTCAACCCTCATACTACTCCTATGAGGTGCTGTCCCCTATTAAGCAGATGGACAAACCGGGACTCAGAAGTGAAGTGACTTGCCCAGAATTACACAGGAAGTAACAAGGAACCAAACTTCAAACCCAGGCAGAGCAAGTGTGAATTCCAAGTCATTTACATCAGAAATAGCTGACCTGGAAATGATCACAAAAATTGGTCCAACAAAATTTTATGACATGATCTAATTTTTAAAACTCAATGTTACATGTGAACATTTGGCCACTGTGCCTGACATTTCTAGTCAAATACACTTGGAATTTCCTCAGGCCCAGGCAACTGCACTACCAGATCTCTACTGACAAAGACTCCACAGCACATCCATGAGTTCCAGAGAGAAACTGGTGATCCTAGGTCAATGGTGAACATTACAGGATGTCGATCATTCACTCACTTACTATCTTACGGATATCTTAGTCATCTAAAAGAATCACTTTTACACAATTCGAGAAGACTTTAGTTCCTATTAATTGCTGAGCATTGTGTTAGGCTCACTGCTCTCATAATAACAGAACTGATGAAAACTTTGAAAGACAAATAATGACAGTCACACCCTGGAGATACATGCTATCCAGCAGTGAAAACAGACATACAAATATCTGGATTTCAAACACTCAAATACCTTCATGGAAAACCAACAAACAAAAAAAACTACTGAAAAGTTCCGGTGTAGCAGAGGGCAGGAAGTGAGTAATTAAGGAGTGGGCAGAAAAGGCTGCACAGAGGAAACCTCAGTGCTGGATGTAGGAAGATGGCTCAGAATTTTGCAGAAAGGCAGGAAGAGCATTCTAAACAGATGGGACAGCATTCCCAGCAGGCATGCTGGAAGAACTGCAGGTGCCAATGTTCAGTTGAACATAAGATACTATATGTGAAGAGGAGAGACAGAAACGTGAGGATCAAGGAAGGCACTGGTCAAGCTGGAAGGGAGTTGGCACATCCTTTTGCAAGCAAGAGAGAACCAGTCACAATTTTAAAGTATGGTGGTGGTATGAGCTAAGTATTAGAAAGATAGGTCTGAAACAGGGTGAACTATAGCAGGGACAGACTGAGGTAGGAAGGCCAGTGAACAAACAATAGACACAAGACAGTGAACAAACATACAAAGAAACAAACTCTGAAATGAAATCAAGAGACCACAGTTATTTAGTCTGAATTTTTTTCCATGTCTGTGCATGGATGAACACAAATCTATGTGTGTATGTGTTTAGCTTGTTTGTTTGATTTAATCTGCAAATGAGTTGATGTTTTCTAAGGTCCCTTATTCCTGCATTAACATGTTCTTGCATCACTTGCACAAAAATAACACATTGTCAGGGTACACTCATATTATAAAAATTGATGGCTAAATATGATATAATCTATAATACAGAATGATGTATTCAAGTTTGTACTGTTATCAATTAAATATGAATACCATGTAATACTACGATCCTTTGGAAATGAACCAATGTCCATTAGTCTCAGACTATAAATTTCTGCTGAGAACTGAGAACCATAAAAGCAGTTGCTTTTGTTGACCAGAAGTTTAAAATACTCTAAGCTAGGAAAATATTTAATGGGGACCCTGGATTAGTCAATAGACTTCTTCACGGTCACCCTGAATAAAATCAATGGTACCTAAGATGTATTCATACGACTCAAAAACATCCTCTGTGAGGGTGACTGAACAATTTAATTAAACACCAATCAGGTTGACTCAAACCAAAAAAAAAAAAAGTTATCTACTTTGTGCTGCTGCTAGTCCACTGAAGCTCTAGCGGAAAAAATAAATTACTCATAGAAATAAATAACAAATTAGCTGATTCTAATAGTTCATGGGTTGATTAAAGTTGAGGTCAGCATAAGCATGAATTACCATCAGAGTGTGGCCATAAAGGGACAGCTTGTATAGCCTCTGTATGCTATTCCAAGATAGTATTTGAGAAAGTTGATTTATTCTAACATGTCATTGAAAACAACTGAAAACAAATGCTTCCTAATACCTGATAGTGTAATATCAGATATTTAAACCCTAATTTCAGAACATATAAATCTGAAAAAAAATAAGACAGTGAAAGCATTCCCCTATAGTTATCTTGCAATGGATGAAATCTATTTCTACAAAATTAACATAGTCTTGTTATATTCATAAATTTCAGTTTCTCAATTAAGGGATACAAAGCACAGGATGCACAAAGCTGGTACGGATAACTAACATAGAAAACAGAATCAAATAATCAAAGGCATCCTAACATGCTTGCACACTGGATTAACACCAAGAAGATAAAAACTAACCAGTATCAAGGTAAAGGTCTGTGGCTTGGTTGAAAGATCAGTTATATGTTTTACACTGAAAGGATATTATGAATAAAATATCCTAATAATGTTAATATAAACCAGAAATGCAATAAAAATGCCCAAAACATGTATTCCAAGCTGAGACTGTATCAACTGATGTATAAGGTCCCATAAAAGGAATACCATTATTCTAAACTGTTCAGATTATATGAGAAGACAGGTTCCTACTTGGAGATTCACACTTTAAGAGAAATATTCATAAAGGTGAAGAGTCTAAAACCATACATAAAAAGAAACTATTAAAGCAATACATTTGACACGGATGAGAATATACTAAAAAGAAATACTGAGAATCCACTTTTTGGTATATTTATATACATATAAGATGAATATACTAAGAGGAAATGAGAATATACTAAGAAAAAACAACAATGGTTGTTTTATAGAAGAAGATATTGACTTTTTTATAAGCCAAAAGAATTTATGGGTAGCTTTTCTGCTCAACATAAGGAGGTACTTTCAAGTGATTAGGATGATTTGAAATGGAATGGTTTATTTCTGCACTTTTCCTATGAATCTCTATGTTGCTTATGATGTGTCAAAGGTCTCTTCAAATCCTCAATCTATGATGAACGAAAACTTACACTACCTTTACAATATAATTTATGACACCACAAGCATTTTTTTTTTTTTTTTTTTTTTTTTTTTGAGACGGAGTCTTGCTCTGTCGCCCAGGCTGGAGTGCAGTGGCCGGATCTCAGCTCACTGCAAGCTCCGCCTCCCGGGCTTACGCCATTCTCCTGCCTCAGCCTCCCGAGTAGCTGGGACTACAGGCGCCCGCCACCTCGCCCGGCTAAGTTTTTTTTTGTATTTTTAGTAGAGACGGGGTTTCACTGTGTTAGCCAGGATGGTCTCGATCTCCTGACCTCGTGATCCGCCCGTCTCGGCCTCCCAGAGTGCTGGGATTACAGGCTTGAGCCACCGCGCCCGGCCGACACCACGAGCATTAAAAAAATAAAACTATATTTCACTCTGGATGCCAAGTGCTATTTTTTATATTAAAAGAGACATAAAAATTACGATGAGAATAACCATTAATATAATTAATATAACTACTTTGTAATTCCATTTATGGGAATTATTCTAATGAAATAACATATAGATGAGCATCCATTACAAATTATAAGAAAATAGGTAAATATGTTATGCTACATCAACACAATGGATTATTTATAGCTATTACATTTTATTAAAAATATTTATTATGAAAAATCCTTAAATGATTAATACCTTCTATTAACTGAGAAGGTTACAAAATGATATATTTAATATAATCTACAAGTGTGTATACATACATATATACACAAGTATAAATACATTTTTAAGTGATCTTTGGGGAAGTAGCAAGATGATATAATTTTAAGATTTTCCTGTATGCTTTACGTATTCTAATTTCTTTCAGAATGAAATTATTTTTAGTCAAAGATGACTACCCAAGATTTTTCAGAATAAATTTACTGACTACTGTTTTTAAGGAAGACTTCAACTAATAGATTTTTTTCTGCCCAGGTTTGTTTTTAAAGTATTGGCACCTAAACACATTTAAGAAAGAAAATGCCATGGCTGAGACTTTGACCCAGATTAGGATTTGCCTGGCAACACTATGGAGCATGCCACCACAAACAGATGATGGACTGGCAGGATGGCTGCACTGCACTGTTCAAGTGTCCATGCACAGAGACAAGTGACTGGAGCTGAGACTTGCATAACATTCATCTTCCTGGGTCTTGATTTTCTCATTCATAGAAATAGGTAGTTGCTGGAAAGATATCTAAGGGCAATTTCAGTTCAGAGCATCAAATCATAAGTCTTCTCTTTTTATATTCGGTTTGAATGTGTTTAAATGCAGTGTTTCCAAACTTAAAATTATGCAGAAGTAATGTATATTCTCACTTAATTTTTAAAATATGAATTTCCAAAGTATGAATAATATGGTGTCTTAGATTTGCTTTAAAATAATTAAATGAGGACATTGTAGGGCATAGCAGGAAGGACCATAACTAAAACAGGACTATGCCTATGTTGATCATTATTGAAGCTGAGTGATGGGTACATGGGGGTTCATTTGTCCATTCTCTCTACCTTTGTATGTGTTTAAAATTTTCCATAATAAAAAGGTTATTCTAAAAAAAATAAGATTCCTTCCTCAACCCCCCCCCCACCCTAACAAAATTAATATCATAATGCAGTTTAGACCTAAAGGAAAGCCTTGCAAATTTAATGACACTATCTCTCTACTTAACTACTATAAAATAACTATTTATCATATATGTGCTATTTTAAGTTCTAAATTCTCTTGCCCCTTTGATGTAGATGAGAAAAGTTCCATCTTTCTCCTTAATAAATAAGCATTTTGAATGGAGAGAGAACCATTTTATTTTTTCTATAATTCCTCATTTCCAAAACTATACATCTTGCCCTATCCCAAAAGTGGATGGACAAATATAGTCTCATTCTTAAGGAACTGAAATTTGGTTTTAGATATCTATAAAAGTAGAAAATAAGTTTTCTAAAGTATTTTTCAACGAACATATTTTAATATGAATGGCTAATGTAACCCAAATCTATCTTGACAGCTAAGCTGCAAAACCAAGAGGAAGGTATTTCTTTCAAGAGGCAACTTTTAACTATTGCAGTCCTTTGATAGAGGTAGAAAAAAGACAACTAAAGGGAATCATGATCTAATTACTCAGTAACAGATGAGAGAGAGCCTTCTAGGGAAATATTCATCCATGAAGACATTTTTTCCTCACTTAAAGTCATGGATGCTATAAAACCACTCCGACTACAAACAGAGAAGGCAAAATTTAACCATATCATGGGCATTTTATAGGTGGCATTTGCCTTACAGGAGCCTCATCATCTGGACTTCCCAGATTTCATATCCAAGGCCAAAATCTGTGACAGATCAGTGTTTTAAAAAGTTCTTGAAGAAACTGAGCTTAGTCTCCATTTTCTCAGTCTTTGGCCCACTCTCCATTTCCACTGTATTGCCATTAACCAAATGAAGAAACTTATAGGTCTTTTTACAATTAATTAATGATTTAAATTTTATTTTGTGTCTCATATGCCCTGGGTATTTCCTTCATCTCAATTATCAGGTTTTAGCCTTCCATTTCTGTGTGATTGTTTAATGTTTATCTGAACAGCTCACCTATCAAATTCAAGAGGGCAGAGACCAAGTCTGTTTTAGCTACAACATCTGACATTTAATGGGCACACAATTCATATTTAATGTTTAATTAAATGAAATAATTATTTGAAAAGGTCTAGGTTTATCATGAAGCCTAATTTTGTCATTTTTACAAATTACTTGGCCTGCCTCAATAAAAAAAAAAAAAATTCTTAAAAATTTCACAATGGTAACATTTTAAAAATATTTTTGTCAGAACAAATTTTCATAAGACATACAGAAGGTTTTCTCATAAGCATTTTGCCACTCATTTAAAAAGTATTTATCCCCCAGGGATTTCGGCTAGCATGCTATTTTCAACCAAGTCAAATTTTACTTGAGGTGGCCATCCCTGATTTAGATACCATTACTTCCTGACAGAAGACTGAATTCTGCTGTGAGAAATTTTAACTAAGCACATATTTCTCATTCACTGTGATTCTTCACACTGCTCCATGGATTCATGACATGACATGGAAATAAAAAACTGAGACTAGTCCTTTGCAGCAAAAATCAAAAGGCTAATTTCTCTTCCCTATGTTCATGTGCTAATAGCTTAGGATAGTCAACAAGAGACGTCTATTATATTACTATCTGAAAGAAAAGCTAGCATACCCAATAACTAATTTTTAAAAATCACTTTTTTAAAGGTAACATTATAATTTATCTGTCTCCCAAGACGGGTTTTAAAAAAATGGTCCCCCAGAGACGGTCCTCTATTTCATTTTACCCAAAGATGACTAGATTCTGATACACAGAATTTGTCAGATATCATACATTACACTTTCCAGCCAGATAAAAGTTAATACATTTAAGAGCAAGAAAAATGATCAAACTAATATAGAAACTAGGAATTTAAGCCTCTGGGACCGAGAGCACTTTCTTTCAAGCTTCACTTTCTATACCAGAGAAATAGAGATTATTTTTGTCGTTGCTTAGACTTTGGTGAGAATTTACCATTTTTCATAAAATATATTCATAAAATATTGTGTAGGTAATAGTTCAATTGATGTTATAATTTAATACTATCTTCTTTTCAACACATTGTTCTGGATGAGCATTAAATTTAAGACAAAGAAACACATTTAAAAATATATGTATTCTTTATAATATAAAATTAAGGCATAAAAAAGCAAGATAACAGCCTACAAGCAGTCCATGTGGTATAACATGATATAGGCTATAAAATAATTTAATAGTCTTCCTGCGATGGCCACAGGAAGAAATAATGCAGTCAAACAAACCAAAAGCAGGAAAGCAAAAGCTGTGGCTTACTTGCAGTTGAAGAAGGTAAGGGACTCCTATCCTCAGATTCTGGGGGTATTTTTTTCTGTTTTTTTGACTCATGGATCTTTTCTTCTTCTTGGCTGGGTGTTGCAGACATTCCCATTGGGTTTTCTCTGCCAACTGAAATTAAGATTTTAAAAGATGCCATCCTTTCAAAATCACTTGCTGCTTCTCAGAATACTCACCATATGTTCAGCTATGCAAGTTTAAGTTTTGCCATTGTTTCCATTTCAATGCCTAGTCAAATCTCTTTACTCAGAATTACGTAGTTAACAGAAAATGACTTCTTATTCTTACCAGCAGGCTGTGCATAGATGGTATCCCTATAAAACCTACTCATTGCTTTGCAAATCTGAACGATAGTTTAACATCACAATATGAATCAAACAACTTATTCAAAATGTTTTTCTTATAGATTCTAAATGGGAACTTCCTTAACAATCTTTTACTTTGCCTTCCTCAAAAGGGGAAACTAAAACGTCATTCAAACAGGATTTCATGTTACCTTACTGAAATATGTGAATCAACAAAATATACACATATCTATAAGCAATGAAAACATTAGCTACTTTTCTACCTTTTACTTAGAAGCAAGTTGCTTTGGAGTCTTGTTTAAGAATAGGTATCTCTAAGTTAAATAATGACTTCAGCTTTATAGTATATGCTCCTAAGTGCTATTTATATTTAGGATTTCAAATTCAAGTTGTTTGTGTTCATTTTCTAGGATCAGGCATAGGCATATTGTTTTTAAATGGTGGTAATTCACACTATGAATGGCTTTAGGTTCTCATCAGCAACAAAAAATTATGTAAATTTCTGATTCTATATGATAAAGAGTAATAACAACTACTTCTTAATACCACAATTGCAGTCAACGATGTAAGATGACTCACAAAGTAAGAAAGCAGAACAACCTCAAAGGTATGCTTAGTAGAAATTAGCAACACTTATCACACAGGGTGATGGTGCAGACTCTACAATACTGGTGGCTGAAGAACTGTCCATGATTACACTGTTATTTATATCCTTCAGGTGTTATAAGATATCATTTCAGACAACAATAAGCTTTTAAATACTAATCCTTATAAAACATAGTTTTTCCATGTGGTTTATATACAATGCAACGCTGAGACACTAAAAATTGATAATAAGGCCGGGCGCGGTGGCTCAAGCCTGTAATCCCAGCACTTTGGGAGGCTGAGGCGGGTGGATCACAAGGTCAGGAGATCGAGACTATCCTGGCTAACGTGGTGAAACCCCGTCTCTACTAAAAATACAAAAAAAAAAAAACTAGCCGGGCGCGGTAGCGGGCGCCTGTAGTCCCAGCTACTTGGGAGGCTGAGGCGGGGGAATGGCGTGAACCCGGGGGGCGGAGCTTGCAGTGAGCCGAGATCGCGCCACTGCACTCCAGCCTGGGAGACACAGTGAGACTCCGTCTCAAAAAAAAAAAAAAAAAAAAAAAAAAATTGATAATAAAGGAATTTTAAAACATTAAAAAGAAGATAGAAATAACTAGAAATATGTTCATGGAGAATAAATAAGTAATTGTAGAGGAAAAAAATTAAGATTCTTATATATAGCTAAGAGTTCATTTACCAATGTAATGTAGAAATCCAGAATCTACAAAAAGATAAACTATCTTCCAGTCACTGCATAGCACTAGGAACAAATCAATGTATAAGAAATGGCTTCTGAAATTGATGGGGTTACAGCCCAGAGAGAGAATACATAAACATGACCTCTGATAGATACTGATGAGCTCTTTAACTGACACAAGCACAACGTGCATAGGGAGCACAGAGGAGAAAACAATTAATGTGCCAGTCCATTAGAAAAAAGCCCAAAAAGGGTTGCACAACAAGGCCAGTCCATGCAGAACTGTGAAAGGAGAATGAGCATTTTACCTCTCTATCCTTCCCACACTGGCTTCTTATTAATTCTACCTCTGCTTCTCAAAAAGTACACCAATATCTCTTTATACGACACAGTAGTAGGGAATTCAGAAAGTGGAAGACATTTTCTGGAAATGTCATCCAGCACCTTCCTATCCCTCTGTAGAGAAGGCTTCCCACTTTGTCTTCAGGCCAGGCAGGTTACAGAAAGATGTTCAAAAGCCAAGTACCAAAGTGACCCTCCAATAATACAATACTCTGAACTGGAGCAACCCTTAGTAGCTCTTTGTCTGACTTTTACAATTAAAAAAAAAAAAGTGAAAACTCTATCACTGGCAATGTAAAACAAAACCTGTGGTGAAGGTGAAAGAACCAGAGCTGTCTAGGTACAGATGTTATCAAAAGGTATATGTTACCTATACAGCTGGATTTGGATGATTAATGACTCACTTCAGGTAGTACCTCATTATATCCAAAATTTAAGCTATATCAAGATCTACCAGACAATAAAGGCAGTAACTCTACAAAATCAACTAGGAAAAGTCTTTTGTTTTATTGAATACCTTCTATTTTAAAAGTAAAACAAGTGAAAACTTACATAATAGCAATGATTATAGTGTCACATTAGTGCATATATATTTTAAATCCATATAGTCATTTTATCATCTGAAACATATTTTGTCATATTTTTCTAAGACTGTAATATACATAGTCAGAATTTTATGAATTGGATATATGACAGTATTTCATTTAGATTTTTATGCTTGAATGATCTTAGCAGACTAGAATGAAGCAAAAATGAAATTTCCAAACATATTTTAAGGCAAACTTCCATAAAACTTGAACCTGAAAGAAATTCTTATTGTAATAAAAATGTAACATCTGAACCATATCTTCAGTCCTGCATTTTTGAGGGGTTACTAATAGCCAGAGTCTCATGATCTATATACAGAGGATGGCTCATACCATAAAACTGGGCTGGAATTAGAGCAAGAGGAGGTAAATTTCTGTGCAAAAGTCAAGTCTCTGTTAAAGTACTTCTAAAAACTTATAGGTTCACTCTTTCCTAAGTATTCTATAAAAGTAATAGTACACTGAAGTTAGCGAAAAGTTACATGTTATATTGATCTACAGTTCTTTAAAACGATACCTAGCAGTGTGGTCTTACTGTATGGAATTATAAATGCAGGTTTATTATCTAGAGGAACAGAATGAAGAAAACTTTCAAATTATCCAAATATCCAGATAATCAATGCAGAATCTTCTCCATAGGCTCAGTATAATAACTAATCACATAAGCCCAAGGGGAAAGATCTTTTCACACTTTCTCCTGTATATACTGTGAATATAAATTCATGAAAATAGAGAATGAAGAGGTTTTACTGCACACGCTAGCAAAAACAGCTAAATGGTAGTGGGATAAATGACTTTTATTATAAATTCCCAATACGCAGTAAATTAAACCAAATCCTTGCCAAACTGTAGATGAAAAAAATCAATCACAGAGAAATGAAATATGCAAAGTGATTAAAAGAGGTGATGAGACGGAATCTCTTGTCTTTCAGGAATCCATCGATTCTATTTGAGTGATAAAAGAAAATATGCCGTGAAGTGCTCTTCCTCTCTTTAATAATCATAACAGTAAATACTTGAACAGCACTTGCTGAGTACCAGACACTATTCTAATCATCTTACATATGTTAATTCATGTAATTCTCACACCACAACTGAGTGAAGGCACTCTTGGTCCTCATTTGACAGAACAGAGGCAGGTGGTCCAAGAGCTGTGAGAGCATACCACTGGCAAAAGGTGCCCTCCCAGGACCTGCAGTCTGGCTCTCAAAGCCTGTGTGCTGAAATCCTACCCTTGTCCCTCTACCCTGCTATACTTCTGAGCCTCTTGCTGTTTGGTGGGTGGAAACTGTCAATGAGACTGCCCTCGTCCTCGGCTGAGCAGAGCTGTGCCCTCCACGTGATTGTGTGCCACGTCAGACCAGGCAGCTTGTAGATATTTACTTGAGGTGCAGCAGCTTCCAAGGAAGCCAGGACCAGTCATTCAGGTTGCATGCCTGGGGGCAACAGGTGGAGTCTCTTGAGAGTAACCTTATGATTCTCTTCCTACCACAATCTCTTACCCTATCCAAGTCCCCTTATCACTCAGGGTACCTCACAACTTTAACTCTGCTTTCTAGACAACTATGAGGAAAAATTTACACTGAAAAAAAAAGTTTCAGCTTAACGTTTTGGGGGGCTGCTCTATCTCTGTATTAGAATATAAACAATTCAAAATTCCCAAATGTTTTTGGGAGTGAACTTTTTTGGCGTAGAGTAGGTTCAATCTATCATATGTAGATAGTCTAGTTAGAAAACATTCTATCGGGAGGCCGAGGCAGGCAGATCACGAGGTCAGGAGATCGAGACCATCCTGGCTAACATGGTAAAACCCCGTCTCTGCTAAAAATACAAAAAATTAGCCGAGCATGGTGGTGGGCGCCTGTAGTCTCGTTTACTCGGGAGGCTGAGGCAGGAGAATGGTGGGAACCTGGGAGGCGGAGCTTGCAGTGAGCCAAGATCGCCACTGCATTCCAGCCTGGGTGACTCAGCGAGACCGTCAAAAAAAAAAGAAGAAGAAGAACAAGAAAGGGAAGGGGAGGGGAGGGGAGGGAGAAAATGTTCTAAAATAATAAAATGACTTGGGGAATTACTGTAACTTTTTTTTTTTCAGCTAGAGTGCAGTGGAACGTTCTTAGCTCACTGCAAACTCCACCTCCCAGGTTCAAGTGATTCTCCTTCCAGTAGCTGGGATTACAGGCATGCACCACCACGCCCAGCTAATTTTTGTATTTTTAGTAGAGACAGGGTTTCACCATGTTGGCCAGGCTGGTCTCAAACTCCTGGCCTTAAGTGATCCACCCGTCTTGGCCTCTCAAAGTGCTGGGATTATAGGTGTGAGCCACCGTGCCTGGCCCTACAAACTTTTACATAAACATTCTGTCACTCTTCACAAAATCCCCTATGACAGAGTTTTTAACACTCAGAAATCCCAATGGAATGCTCTTCTTGTAAAATTGGAAAGTATTATTTTGTATTTTGAAGAAATGTTGATGCTTTCAAACCCTTCCTCAGAATTCCTAGGATTCATGAATCTTCAATAAAATTTCTAAAGCAATGTCTCTTGCATTCTTGCCCTTGTTAAAGCAGGAGGCTGCCTCTAGTAAACAGAGAAGAAAACAAACCATCTATGCTTTAGTAACAGAACTAAATTGTAGGAGCTGTAAAGAAGAATGGCTTTGTTTCTATTGGTTCTTTTAGTACTAATACCCTAACGTTGACAAATGTGTCCTTTTATTATCTCTCTCTTATGTCTTGCCACAAATTACTTTTCTTCTTTTCATTTCTTTTTCTATTGTTTCAATCTCTTCTTTTTCACCTTTTCATCTCTACCTGCTTCCTGGTCATTTCTGTTTTCTCCCTGTGCTCTTCCAGCATGGCAGCTGACCCCTGCTAGCTATTTCCCACTGTTCTTTTTCTACTCCTGTATCCTTCTGCTGGCTTTGAAGTCACCTGTTTCCCTTCAGAGCTCCAGAGGCAGATGGCATATGCATTGTGTCAAGGCAGAATGCCACTCTGGGCCAGCCTGTGGGAAAATGAAGGGTGGAGGGAGTGGTGGTATGGATGGCAGTAAACTCAGGTATACTAGTCCAACAGTTTACAAAATTTTTAAAAAGGCAACTAGAGGCTGAAAAGGAGTTGATGCAGATAGAGTGAAGAACAGGGCCAAATATACCATCATGTTACATCAGGATCATTTTATTCCTATTCTAAGCTATCTTCTGTGGGATATTATATATACACATACAGTAAATATGGACTCTCATAAGCCAACAGAAGCTAAACAAAAGTCAGACCAAGAAAATGACACAGATATTGAGTAAGCCAAAATTCAGGGAACCTCACATCAAGCAAAAATTAGATAGCAAACTAAACTTCAAGATAATTGAAAAATACAATAAAGTTACTTTATTAGCCTTTGTGTTGAAACATATTTTAAGGTTTGAACACAAATACATGATTAAATAATGTCCTCATATCTTCATTTCGATTTGCTAGAGAACATGAACTTAGATATGAGAGAAACCAGTTTCAAAATATTCACATTTCTGTCCTATCTTGAGATTTTTTCCCAAATCCTATTTTTAATCCAAATCCCATTTGTGTTGATCTTTCTTCCATCTCTTTTTATACTGCAACCATTAAAAATTAATAGCAATGAATCTGAGAATATTTCTAACAGCCTCGTTCCTCTCGGGGTATATGAAGCTATCCTTAAAAAACAAAGATTCAAACATGCACATGTACACAGACACACGAATGCACACATAACTTTCAAAGTTACAAAGAAGTTCAATGTAGCAAAACTTCTATACCTAATATTAATTTATCTGAAAATTTGAGGCAACCGTCTTCATTATGTTTTCCTTCCATTGCTTCTGGAATGACAACAAACAAAAAAGCCTAACAGCAGAGATTTGCCTAGTAAAAATGTGATGAAATTTTCAGACACTGTACACAAACCATCATAAAGCAAACCAAAAAGCAAAGTATGTCAGAGTAAACATACATTGGATGACTTGTGGATAGAAGCAAACATTCTCATCCTTGGTATAAATCATTGGTTTTGCCTGCCCATCTGACTGAAGTCCAACAAACAATCCTGGGCTCTTCGTAGATTCCAGGCTTATGGATGCATTCTCCAAGTTCTTCTTAATTTTAAAATGACAGTCGACATCTCCTGTACCCTACAATCAATACAAAATGATTCAATAAATATGAGCAAGTCGTAAAAGACAGAATTTAAAACCAGTCATTTTACAAGAATATAATTTTGTCTCGTTTCACATCACTATGATAAATCAAGAGACTTTTTACATAAATTGCCCCGTGTGCTTCATCCTATTTCACAAGATCCAGAAACAGAGATCACATGATGGGTTGAGGCAAGGACACATGCCTTTGGACAAAAAGCTCTGAATAGCATAAGAGCTTCAACTAAGGAGAGTGTTGTGTATGCTGTATTTCATTTTAGAGTTGCTCACCTCTATGGGTGAATGTAGAACATTAAAATGTGGAACTTTTCTTTTAGAAAATACTCTAAAGTGGTGGGAAAAGGGCTATTCTTACCATAGGTCAATTTACATTTAAATTTAAACTAATTTTCTGTGCTACTCTGCATTTTCCAGATTGAATTTTCATAAAGAGCATGCACACAAATGATGCAAAGACTGTAGAGGAAAATATTCAAGAATTGAATGCCTAGCAGTAATCTACACACTCTCAGATTATTATAACACTTCTCCCTTCTTTAAGCCATTTATAATCTAATATTAGAAAATATTTCGCCTTTCATTGTTTTAAAAGTTTCCTTACAGGATTTCAGTCCTAACTAATGAGTTTTATAAGCATGGATTAAAATTTCCACTAGTAACTATTATTTTATTTGTAATACAAACAATATTCTAGTCTCCACTCAAATGTGAGCTTCTTGTCAGTAAGAACCAAGGCAGTCTCTCTCTCTCTTTCTCTCTCTCTCTTTTTATAAATATAAAGGAAGCAATTTCTGTCTTCTGTTCTTGTTCTAAATTCAGTAAGATTCTGGCCTTGCATTGTTCATGGTCGAGTAGAGAAGACAAATCACGTATACAGATAATAAGTAGGGAAAGATGAGCTGGGGGTAGGGATAGGAAATTTCAGGTAGAGGGGCACCATAAACTAAGGCAGAGGGGCCATAGGCAGCATGATGTATGGATGAACAAGCACCTTAATGATGCTGAACAATAGAGAAGGTAAGTGCAGAAGAGCAGCTTCGGTTTGTTTGCAGCATAGGAAGTTTAGGCCTTGTCATAGACCATCTGTTTTCTTTTCTGAGATTCCCAAACCTCCTAAATGATGTATTTGCATACATTAAGGTTTACTCTTTATGCTATACAATTCTGTGGGTTTTAACAAATCTATAATGTCTTGTATCCGTTATTACAATAGCATACAGAATAATCGTACTGCCCTAAAGATTCCCTATGCTTCATCTATTTATCCTTTCCATACTTCCCTCAAATCCCTAGCAAACACTGATCATTTTACTGTGTCTATTATAGCTTTGCATTTTCCAGAATGTCCTATAATTGGAATGGGGTAATATGTAACCTCATCACACTGGCTTCTTACACTTAGCAATATGCAATTAAGTTTCCTTAATGTCTTTTCATGGCTTATTTCTTTTTACTGATGAATAATAATCCATTGTATAAATGCACCAAAATTTATACATTCACCTACTGAAGGACATCTTGGTTGTTTCTAGTTTGGGGTGATTATGAAAAAAGCTGCTATAAACATTCACGGACATGTTTAAGCTCTGGGTCTAGATTCATTTGTAGGTATATGGACATCCAATTGTTCCAGCACCATTTGTTGAAAAGTCTACCCTTTCTCCATCGAGTTACCTTTGCTCCTTTGTCAAAGATCACTTCACTGTATTTGTGTGGGTCTATTTCTAGGCTCTCCATTCTGCTCCACTGATCTCTGTACCTTTTCTTTCATCAATACCACACTGTCTTGATTTCTGTAGCTTTATAATAAATCATAAATTTAGGTAGTTTCAGTCTTCTAACTTTGTTCTTCTTCAATATTACGTTGGCTATTCTGGGTCTGTTGCCTTTCCATAGAAACTCAGGACCAGCTTATAGATAGTCACAAAATAGCTTGCTGGAATTTTGACTGGAATTGTATTGAATCTATCGATCAAGTTGGTAAGAACTAACAACAACCTTGAGTCTTCCAGTATATAAACGAGGAACATCTGTCCATTTATTTAAATTTTCTTTGATTTCTTTCATCAGCATTTTCTAGTTTTCCACATAGAGATCCAGAATATATTTTGTTAGATTTATACATTTTTGTACTAATATGACTGGCATTATGTTTTTAATTTTAAATTCCAATTGTTCATTGCTAGTATATAGGAAAGCAATTAAAATTTGTATATTAGCCTCATACATTGCAACCTCACTATAAACACTTATTGATTCTGAAATTTTTTTGTTGATTCTTTGGGATTACCTACATAAAAACTAATATCATCTGTGAGCCAAGACAGTTTTATTTCTTCCTTCCCAATCTGTATACATTTTGTTTCCTTTTTCTGTCTTATTGATTAGCTAAGACTTTCTATATAATATTGGAGTGGTGAGAGATGTCCTTGCTTTGTTCCTGATCTTAAAGAAAAAGCATCCAGTTTCTCACTATTAAGTATAATATTAGTTGCAAGTTTTTTGTAGGTATTCTTTTTTTTTTTAATTATACTTTAAGTTCTAGGGTACATGTACACAACGTGCAAGTTTGTTACATATGTATATTTGTGCCATGTTGGTGTGCTGCACCCATCAACTCGTCAGCACCCATCAACTCGTCATTTACATCAGGTATAACTCCCAATGCCACCATCCCCCCTCCCCATAATAGGCCCCGGTGTGTGATGTTCCCCTTCCTGAGTCCAAGTGATCTCACTGTTCAATTCCCACCTATGAGTGAGAACATGTGGTGTTTGGTTTTCCGTTCCTGCGATAGTTTGCTGAGAATGATGGTTTCCAGCTGCATCCATGTCCGTTTGTAGGTATTCTTAATCAAGTTGAGAAAGTTCCCCTCTATTCATAGTTTACTGACAGTCTTTTTATTTAATCACCAATATTCAATCAGTCATTAATATTCAGTAATTCACATGATCTATCAAATTTGACTCAAACTCTCCACTTTTGTCATTAATTCCCAGACTGTAGGCCCCATCACCTCATTCCTAGATCTCTACAATCACTAACTCAAGTAAAGATAATATTTGTGAATTCTTTAACTAATATATTTTCATTGCTAATTCTTCCAAGGCTCTCTTACCCACTAAATCAACAATACTCATTGTGTTGGTGTAAGTAGAATCCAGCCTAGAGCTAAAAAATCTTTGCTCAGCTTTGAGCTTCCAAATGAAAGGGTTTTAACAAATCTGCAGTAAATTAAGATTTTAAAAGGTGCTTTTTATTTGTAAAAGCAAGCTTTATTGAGAGAGAAAATGGTTGATAAAAGAAATTCCAAAATTGAACTTAATATTCCTAGAACCTGGAGGACTGGACACCTGAGAATTTAAATGATGAAGCCACTGAAAAGGTAGATACCATATATTACACAGAGAAAACTGCTACCCCACAAGAAGAGAGGTGCATCCAGTTCTGAGAGGAGGGGCCTGGGATAAATGGCTAGAAGAGAGACATGGATTTCTTACATCAACTCCACTTGGAGTTGATTCTTGGTGTAACAAAGAAATAAGGGGCATTAGAATCATCCATATATTTTGGAAGAGAATCTCAACAGCTGAGGGGTTATCCCAGGAAACTTATACACTCCACTTAGAGCATCCCAGTGTTTAGCATAGTACTAGAGCACAATGGGGACATCCAGAAGGTGGATTAGAAATGTTCAAGGAAGGAGTCTGAGAAAGTAACACTGATGCAGCTTCCTAGTTTCTCTGCAGCTCACATGGAGACATCAGGGGATCTAGAAGTTATCCCATGCCTTCATGGCAGACTCAGTTATTGAGAGGACTAGTAATCTGGGAGAGAGCTGGATTTGCTACAAGCTGCCCATTAAGTTAGGACCGTTAAGACCAGAGGTTATGCAAGACCCTCAAGCCCTATGTTGCCCAAAATGCTCTAATTATAATATCAGTCATATTTGAAATTAAACACAATTGGTATACCCAAGTTCAGGGAAAAACTAAATCAGCCACACTTCAGTAAAGACTAGTGTGGACCTAAAGAACGGTCTATGTCCTGTGGCCTTTTTCCATGACTTTTCTTTTAAGTCTTTGTGCCAATATATCAAACAAGGATGAGGGAAAGGAAAAAAAGAATAAATAATTAAAAAAAAACAACATTACTATTGACCTGTAAAGGACTAATCTTTCAACTAGATAGAAACCAAGATATACAAGCATATTCTGACAGAAAAAAAAAAAAAATCCATCAGTCGAACTAAGCACACTAGAACACACTAGAAGTACTAGTGTACTTTAGATAAATTATGAACTTTTCAGTCAAACTGTGTTTCATTATAGTAATCTCACAGTTATTCCTCCAAACTTCTGGTTCTCAATAAACTAGCGCATCTTCTACAGTGAGGCCAGATTTATGAACTTGAATATTATTCCCAAACCACTATCTCCCCAAACTTGGAACAGATAACATATTAAAATCAACGTCATTTTACATTAAAGATCTCAAGCAATTGCTCATGACTCACACAACAGAAAATTCTTTCTCAGACATATCTGTTTCCAAACCAACACTGAACTTGGTACTTACTTCTGGTATTGCACTTGGTACACTATGGTGTATTTGTCTATTTATGTTCTTCTTTTCCCCTTTTAAATCACAAATTTCCTGAGAGCAGGGAGCATGTCTTAGTATATCTACTGTAGCACTAGTGACAAGCAGTTTCTGCCTTTCAGTAGAAACTCAGTATCTGTTAACTCTAAATTTCTTTTTACTAATTTCTAATCTCATAATTTGTTCATGTAATGTCCTCTCCTCTCTTTGATAAAGAAAAGTGGAATTATTCTCTCCCTCTAAAATTCACCATTCCAGGAAACTTCTCTTACTCACCTACTCTGCTCAAATCAACCTGCCTCTCCTGAGCGTTCGCAGAAACACTTGAACCACAACTTGGAAAGGATTACCAATTAACTATTGTTCTCCAGATCAGTGTTGCATGCGTATTTGTCCCGTCCCCTCTAACGGCACCTGAAGAAATGGTATTTGTAACCTCCACTAAGTATAATTAGTGAAAATAATAAAAATAAAATGGAATATAACTACATTTCAAAACAATAAACCTTTAGTTTCCTTTATTTCCTTTTTCCTGCTTTCATTTAAAAATCTCTGCTTCATCCCTAACACAAATACAAACTGATTAAAGAGATGTAGATGGGAAACAAAATGTGAGTTCTGAATGCAAAAGGTGTGCCTTCCTACACATCTGCAGCAAACAGCAGCTAGACAAAGCCAGGTTAGAATATCTGATGCATGCTCACACCACTGCAAGCTACCATAACATCTAATGCCCATTTCCCTCTATTTGGCTCCTTTGCAGTAGAACAACTCCTAGTTACCATCACCCAAGTGATATTTTAACTTCTCATACTTAATATTTGTTAAGCACGTATCAAATATCAGTTCTTGCTGTACAGTTTGGGATATTTAAATAAACAAAGCAAACAAAACTCTCCCCACTGTGGTGCCCGCATCCTAGTAGTATACATTCTATACACTGGAGTATTATTATGCCTCCTCTTTTCCAAGATGAACCACTCAACTATTTATTCCTTTCTTAAAGCCTATTTTCCCCTAATAAGAGAAATCTTTGTTGCTGTCCTTAAGGCCCACTGTATATTCTTCAAATCTCTGTATCTGCTGTAAAGATTAAATACATAGACTGTGATCTACAACAATGTAACCACTGACAAGTTCATCTTGCCAGCTGCCCTGATAGAGCTGGTTTATGAAGATGGAGGAATTGCAACAAAGAATACGTTCAACACATGCAGAGCAGGCTAAATGGGAGACTGGAGTTGTATTATTACTCAGATTAACCTCCCCCAAAATTTGGAGGCCAGGGTTTTTCAAGACAGTTTGGCAGGCACGAGGCTAGAGAGTGGGGAATGCTGACTGATTGGGTCAGGAATGAAATCATAGGGAGTTGAAGCTGTCTTCTTGCTATCTTCAGTTCCTGGGTGGGTGCATATAACTAGTTGAACCAGTTTACTAGTCTGGGTGGCACCAGCTGGTCCATCAGAATGCAGGGTCTAAAAAACACCCCAAACTCCAATCTTAGATTTCACAATAGTGATGTTATCCATGGGAGCAACTGGAAAGGTCAGGAGTCGGCTACATGACTCCTGAGCCATAATTTTTTATCTTGTGGCTAATTTGTTAGTTTTACCAAGTCTGTCTGGTGCCTAAAGAAGGAAGGAGTTTGTTACAGAGAGGCACTGTTATCATCTTTGTGTCTAAGTTAAACTACAGGCTGGGTGTAGTGGCTCACACGTGTAATCCCAGCACTTTGGGAGGCCAAGGCGGGTGGATCACCTGAGATCAGCAGTTTGAAACCACCCTGGCCAACGTGGTGAATCCCCATCTCTACTAAAAATACAAAAATTAGCTGGGTGTGGTGGTGGACATCTGTAATCCCAGCTACTCGGGAAGCTGAGGCAGAGAATCACCTGAACCCAGGACACAGAGGAGGACAGCTTGCAGGTTAGAAACAAGATGGAGTCTGTTAGGTCAAATTTCTTTCACTGCCATAATTTTCCTGTGTCAGATTTTTTCCCACTAACATAATTTTTGCAAAGGCAGTTTCAGTAATAGTGAAATGTAAGACCATTTTTTAGAAAATTCAAATGACTTATCTTGCATGTAGCTATGGAAGTAAACACAATTTTATTCAGATCAGGTTTTTAAAATTTTTTGATTAGGTAAAACACGATTTACAATTTTTACATAAAACTAAGACTTTCACTGAATTTTATACTTTTCAACCCACTGGTCTAGCACCATGTAAACCTAACTCCATCTATATGCTTTCATGTGTTTTTTATATTTCAATTTCTTATAAATATGAATTACCTTTCATTTTTAAATTATTTGCATGCATAGAATGTATTTTGAATGAAAAGGCAAAAATTAGACAAATCCACAATGAGAGAATCTTTCTTAGTTTCTGCAAACTAAACTCTTGCCCATAGACAAGCATCCTGCCAGTGTGGGGTATGTCTGTGTGCATATCTTGGATACGGTGATCACACTTGAGCTTATTTTTCCTACAATTCCTACATCTTTTTTTCCTTTGTACTCATGCTTAGTGAGTTCCACCCGTGTTATTCTGAAGTTTATTTTTCTTCTTTAAATTAACACCCTTACAAATGTCCCTAGTGAACTGCATGCTGTTTGTTGCTAACCTGAATTTCGATTACATCAAATCTATTAAGGTGATTTACTCATACAGGATAAAAACTTCATGGTAACAGAAATAGAAATATTTGTTATAGGATCAATGTCACTTGATTTAAATGTATTTGCCTATAAAAATGTTTCCAAATTTACAACAGCAGACATGTTGGGACCATTAATGTTTTTATTCAATTCAATTTAGTACAAAAAAAAAAGCATTTCTTGAGTAGCTACCAGCACTGAGGCACTGTTGGGTTTTTAAGGTATAGCAATATGACCATGCATTACCATTTACCTTTGAATGCATCTTAAATCCCTTTGGAAATTATAAGCATGCCTTACCATAGCCTCTAAACATACACAAACTAGGGTAACTAAGAGGACTGTTTCCATTCTGTTTTCAAGGGTAATGTCATTCCAGTCTAGTGATTCCTAGTCAGATATAATGAAAGTGAAAAATAATATGCTTCATTGTTATGTATCAACACTATTTCTTAAGAACAAGGAAGCACAGGCATTTTGAGTAAATGACTCACTACCAAAATTTCAGATGGATAATTTTAAAGTAAGACAACGAAATCAATGAGTCATTAAGTCAAAGAAAACACTACAATGGAAGTAGCAGAAATAAAACATAAATGAGGGGTTTTCTGTGGAGGCTCTTCTCTATAAAAGTACCAGAGTAAAGGTTAAAAATCAATGTTGTCTGAGTGGCAGACACTATCAGGAGGTAGCCTCAGAGTGCTCCCTTAGGCCTCTGCTAATAACATGTTGTTAATGCACAAAACAACTGGCAACCCACAGGAGAACCCTGATGTTCAGTGACAGCATGTGTGAGAAGCCACACTCAAGGGGCAGATCCCAATGAAGAGCTAGGACACCATGGCTCTGGACCAGGCCTGATACTTATAATGGAATGCAGGAAACACTAGCCTAAAATATGGCAGCTTGGCACAGTGAGTATTTTAAGCTGAAGGAAATGAGAAAACTGTGGAAGCAGGAAGGTCTCCCTGACCCTCTCCAGCCCACTCTCTCCAGAAGCGGGCCATAGAAACTGAAATTCCCTCTCCCCTCTCTCCCCTGGTGTAGGCCACAGAAACTAGAATTCCTCTTGCTTCTTCTCCCAGGAACCACACCCAAAACCTGGAAAGGGCACCTCTCTGACCTTCCCTCTCCTTGTTTCCCCTAAAGACCTTCATGTGACAGCTGTCTTACTTTATACCTGGAGGAAAGAAAAACCTCACAGTGACTCCAAGAAAAACCTGAACAGACAGGCCTTACTAAGTTCCCCATAGTTCGTTACCACTAGATCACACCCTTTGGTTCTCCAATCACACTTAAGTGTCTATAAAATACAAAGTTTTCCCTAGGTCTTTGGATCATCATTTCTGAAGGCTCCTGAGCTACACAGAACTTATTTAGGTGAATTTGTACGCTTTTCTCTTATCAATCTGTTTTTTTGTTATGGGGTCTCAGTTGGGAAGCTTGCAATGGGTGAAAAAAAAAAATCACATTTTGTCTCCTGCATTTACAAGCATTAAATTTAGAACAGAAACTCTGCAACCCTGGCAAATCTTTTAATAACTACACAAAAGAAGTCATAAGATCATTTACATGGGTCGGTTTTAGGTGAAGACCTGCTGTAGCTGTTTGCTTTCCTGTTTGTTTGCTGTGTGAGCTTAGGGTTAAGGGGCATTACTACAAACCTAAGAGAGCTTGCTCAGTCTTGGAATGCAGTAGACACTAAAAATACAGTCAGCCTCCTCCCTTTGTCTTGCGGATCTGGTTATAGTATCAGGGAATTCACCACTGGCCAAAGCAGTGCCACACTTTCCTATGATTTACAGAGTATTCAAGAGCTTCTGGCTTTATGGACAGCCTGTGTAAAATTTCAAATCTTTTAGCAATAACTTTCTAATGCAATAACTTTCCCAAGAACAGGATTGGAATTTTTAACAGAAATAACACGAAGCTAGAAACCTCTAGAGAATGTTTGAGCCTCTGAGCCTCTGAGTTTAGGAAGCAGAAGGGCGAAAGTTACTAATGTATAGTATGATATAGGCCAGGAAGACCTTCAAAACCTTAACCTTAAGCTAAAGATTTTTACAAATGTCTATTAATAAAAAAACATAGTAACAGTATTTCCTCTGTAATCCTCAAAGATTACACTCACCTCACCTTATTCTGAGGATTGATGCTGAACTGATACACATCGATAGAGCCAGACCTATTTTTTAAATACTGAAATATCGAGAGCGACAGGAGTCAGTCTCCTAAAATGCTAGGCAGACAGGAGCATGCCCCTGGCAAAACTCCTCCTTCGAGGTGAAAACCCTGAAACCCACAGCCCAAAGTGAAAACTTCCATCCTTGTGTGTCGGCTCTCTC